TCCCATCCCAAAGAAGGGTGATCCAACTGAGTGTGGAAACTACAGAACAATATCATTGATTTCACATGCAAGCAAGATTCTACTGAAGGCCAATGTAGCTCTCCCTATTTTCATATGTAAAATATCATAAAATAATTTGAAATATTCTATGGTTTAGTTAAGATATAATTGCTATACAGTAAACCCCCAAAACCAAATCAGTTCCTGTTGAGTAGTTTCCAGGTCCTGGTGATTGTGTATGTAGATGTCTCTCTTTATCGCCATCAAGTTGGAACATAGATGACCCTCCAGTGGATTTTCAGAGACTGTAAGTTGTATGAGAGAAGATTGTCCATATTTTTCCCTTGGAGCCACTGGTGAATTTGAACTGCCTACCTTTGGATTGGCAGTGCAACTCCTTATCCACCAGATAACTAATGTTCTAGATTCACAGATGAAAAGGAATTTTGCTTCAGGACAGCATTTGGACATAGCACTGATTTAAGACTTTTGATATTATTAATGGGTAAAAATGTTTGTCATTATGGCAAGGACATGAATTTTGAAAGCTGAAACATAATTTCATGGTTTGAATTCTATTACAGAAATGTGTTCACTTAAAAAAAAGTCAACATCATGCTTGAGAGGGTGGAGGGATGGTACAAGAGGGGAAGACCCTCTGTGAGGTGGATTGATTCAGTGACTGGGGTAATCTGGATGGGTGTGTCAGAGGCAGTGCGATTGGCACAGGACAGAGCAGAGTTTAGGGCTGTTGGACATAGGGTCTCTATGAGTCGCAAGCGACTCGACGGCACATAACAACAACAATGGCTGAGCCATAAGTCTTAGTTATGTAATTATTTTATTTAGTAGTGAAAGGATCCATGGGATTATACATGATGTGATGAAATGCAAAAATCAATTGTAAGAGGCCTAGAGTGGAATATTACACACTTATGCAGATCACAGCTCTGATCAAATAGAAAGGCAGTTTCCCTGGGATGTGGCCTGCATCACCTTTTATTTCACAAGAGTTGAAAGAAGGGAGAAGTTATCATGGAGTGATTGACGACCACTGAGAAGAAGAGCCAGGAGCATAGAGCATCCTTTGGACTAGCATCTTCCTGCACTAGAACCTCCTATACCTAGGAAAGGACTGATAAAACCACATGTATATGTCCAAAGAATTCCAGCTCACAGATACCGAAAAGGGACAAGGACCTTCCACCAGAGCTGAAAGAGAAAGAAAACTTTCTCCTAGAAGCAATGCTCTGAATTTTTATGTCTACCCTCCTAAATTGTAAGAGAATAGATTTCTCTTTGTTAAAGCCACCACTTTGGTGGTTTTGGGTTTTTTGTTTTGTTTTTCCTTTTTTTTATTGGGAAAAGCATATTGGGGGTGAGGGTTGGGGGCAGAAGGGTGAGGATGGGCCAGGATGCAGTTGCAGAGCTGCACAGCTTGGTCGGTGGGGGGAGCAGGTGAAGGAAATGATGAGGGTCCAGAGGGGACCAGATACTACAGAGGAATGACAAGCATTTTCCAATGGTAATTAAACCAACTGTCTTATTGATTTGGGA